TGAGAAGATAAACTAGGTATTCGTGAGAAGATAAACTAGGCAGCATCATTTTATATAAAAAAAAAACGAATTAAAGTACAAATTGCTTAAGCATCCACCGTATTCACCAGATATGGCCCCCAGCATCTACTACCTCTTCAGAAACCTGAAACAATTTATTCGTGGAAAGCGTTTTTCGTCGAATTTAGAAGCTATTATAGCCGTAGACGGGTATTTTGCATATCTTCCGGAAAGTCATTATAGGGATGGCATAAAATTATTGTAGGATCATTGGCATAAAATGAAGTTAAGGAATATTATATTGAATAAAAAAATATATTTCTTACCAAAAACAGTATTTTTTCATTTCGAGCGCAGAAACTTTTCAACCAGCCTGTAGCAACATGTTGCGAGAGTGTAAAAATATATATGTACATACTTATGTCACTTTTAGCTCAATGTATCAGAATAAAACTTAGAAAACTAATTTCAATCATTCAAAATTTGATTTCAGGAAAAGTGTTGCGTGGTATGATCACTGTAGAAAAAGAACGCAAAAAAGTGCGCATATTCTATCGCAACTTCAATAACGTTATAGTTGTTAAGAATGTTAAATATTTTAATGAAGTGGCTGAAGAAACATCGGAAACGTACTTTGCATCCAATGGAAAAATAGTTTTGCATTTTTGGCCCAGATATAATTATTTATTACATGCGATACGTTCACCTCCGAAACCTATTGAACGAATTTTACCGAAACTGGAATTAATGTGGAAATCTGATAATTTGCTATTTAAGCATTATCAAAAGAAGAAGAAACTCACGTTAGAGAATGTCCAGTGCTATTTACACAACCACCCCGAAATCGTGGATTTATTTTACGATTACATACACAGCTTGCTACAAAAGAAACCAGAAGTGGTGTTCCCATTTTCAATAAAATTTTTCCAAAATATAAAGAATACTTACTAAGATTTATCTTCAGATTAGTGCCATACATATCTTGGACCGCAGTTTAAATAAAAATTGTTTTTGAATAAATGAGGAAATTTAGTTTTTGCTCATAGTTTTTTCTAACTTTTGACCTTAAAATTTACGTGATTTGTATAACGAATTATATTAGAAATAAATATTAAACCGAAAATATAAGATACCCTATATTTTTATTAGCAAAGATTTTAAAGCTGTAGCAACACGTTCATTGAAATATATTAATTATCTGTTAATTATGGCTTTTAATAAAAATTTCCAACCCTATGTTTAATCCCTAATACCATTTTTTAACCGACACGAAGTCATGAGGTTTAGGCTGTCGTGTAGATTATCTGACTAATCTACTAGATTTTGCAAGATTTTCCCATACAAAAATGACCCTAGTTAATCAAACAACGGAGGTGATTTTAATCTAATCTACTCGAAATCTACCTGTGTGACTCTAATTTAGCGCCATCTGTTTGTCACATTTTGTTGATTTTGACACAACAAACTGCTAAAGTGATAAAGATTAAACAAACAAATATAAGTAAATGAGTGAAAATGACAGTCTTCAATCACAAAATACTGTCTCAAATTTTTCACCAGGGCATAAACCTAATAACAGTAAGAAATCTTGTTTTCCATTTTTAATATACTGACGCTTCACTTATAGAGATCATCATAGATATTAATCGATTTCCGTTTTTTTTTTGGAAGTAACTCAAACACGTAAAAAATAACAAACAAAGGTAAGCTTTCTGACTTGAGTTTTGTTTTTATAACTAAATCTTTTATTATTACAGATAAAGAAGACGAGAAAGACGCAGAGAAGTTCTAACCAAAAACCAAGTAATTTAAACAAATCAGCAATTCACGTGAGTTTATTATAATTTAATATCTTATTTTAAGTATCATAACGCAGTTGGATTTTTAGTGCATTCAATAATTTGGATTTGGTTTTCATTATACATACATATTGTATGTATATGCATGAATGTGCGTTTGGGCGTTTTTCATTTCTGCTCGTGTGCAGAATGTTTAATATAATAATAATGAATAAAATACAAGTGAACATAAATGTGTATTCGAATGTTTAACATTTCTGCTTGTTTCAGACTGTTGAGCATGATTAAAAAGAAGAAAAAGTGTTAACTTCGGTTGCAGTTTGTATGGCAGTTATATGCTAAATTTCGTGAATTTGATTTTGATTGCTCAGTTTTTATGGCAGCTCTATGATGTAGTACGCAGTAGTTCGAGTATATACAGACAGATGGAAATATAAACGAGACTGGCTCAAACAACAAAAACGGTTCATTATTCTTCAATATTTATTTTATCCCCTTCAAAATAGTCATCATTAGAGGCGATACACATATGCCACCTTTTGTTCCAATCTTCATAACACTTCTGGTAGGCCGCTTTAGGTATGGCTTTTAGTTCCTTCTTCGAATTCTCTTTTATGACTTCAATCGACTGAAAATGCTTTCCACGAAGCGGCAATTTGAGTTTAGGGAAAAGAAAAAAGTCACACGGTGCCATGTCGGGTGAATACGGTGCTTGCGGAACAATATTTACGTTGTTTTTGGTCAAATAATCGCGTACAAGACGAGACGTATGAGCTGGATTTTGGAACAAGTCGAGCAGACACACGTCTCATGCCCAAAACATCGTGAATAATGCTGTGAGCGGATCCATTTGATATGTTGAGCTCACTAGCTATCTCTCTTTCAGTCACACGACGTTTTCCAACACAATTTTCTTTATTTTTCGACGTTTTCTTCGTTTATTGACGTTCCTGGACGACGATCATGGGAAAGTTCTCCAGCGATGTACGGCCGTCCTTGAACGACTTATACCAATCAAAAATACGTGCACGCGATAGGCAAGACTCCCATATGCCTTCTGCAACATTTTCATTGCGTCCGTCGCACTTATTCCATTGGAATAACAAATTTCAACAACAACACTTTTGCTGAACGTTAATTTCCATAGTAAAATTCGAAAAACACACTCGAGGTTGACTTGTTTATAGTGCCTTAAAAAAACTCTGTGACAGATCGCGCTCAAATTGACATGTAAACATATAACAGTCCTGCCAACCTAAGCAAAAAAAGTATGGCCATATGTCATGTCCTTGCGAGTTATGGATAAAGTCCGTTTTGCGTTGGTATAATTAAATGAAACCCGTTGTTTTTCCGTTGTCACGCCATAACTTGAGAACGGCTAGACCGATTTGGCTGGTTTTTATAGTTTCTAATACTCTGTAGAAGGTTCTTACGTAATTACGTATTAAGAAAATGTCTCAGAAAGATTGAAAAACGTAACGAATGTCATCGTCATTCACAGCCATAGAATATATTGAAGTGCATAGTTTGTTCGGAAATGTGGTTACTTAATTAAATTCTATCGCCTTCTCAGTTATGGCGAGACCAGGGAAATAGGGATTCATTTTATATGGAGGATATTATAGATTCCAGTTTAAATTGAATAGGTACTCATACCTAAAATAGGACAACTGTCAGCTATACAAAATAATGTAGTACATCAAAGCTACGCTATGGCGGTACGAAGTTCGCAGGTCAGTCAGTCATTTATATAATGGTCTCTCGACGTTTACTTCTAAATGTTATAAAGTTCGTGGCAACTTAATATACCCTGTTTTTACTTTCTTTCTTTAAATAGCCTTAACAACACTTTTTGCGTTTCAACAGGTAAGTTATTTTTTAATAACTATAACTACTAAATGAAAAATAATTTAAATATTTACATAAGATAAAACACGATTTCGTTCGCTAAAGTTCGGATTCGTATATACTGGGATTGGGAAATTAGGAAAAGCTTTCTGAACATGAAATTGTGTATATTGCATATGTGGAAAATTGTTGCTATTGGCAAACTAACCATCAACATTACACTGTATAGTGGCCAGTTCAAAAAAGGACTCTAAATTTAAAGACGATACAAGCATTTGATTGGTTACACGAACGTTTGGTGGAGAAATTAGCCTCATTCCCATACCACCGTTGCCAAATAAGATATTTCTGGACGTTTCGAAGATCAATTTGTGGAGCATCCGGTACTGTCACAATGCAAAGAGTGGCATCATTTCTTGACCTGCAACGATGACAAGATGTGGAAATCAGGCAAAACGAAACGTGGCACATTTGTGGGAGTCTCTCATTGTTGCGCCATATCACCGCCTGAAAACACACTGTTGCCATCTCTGTAGATGCTCACATGGAAAGATGTTCACAGTTCACGCATGCAATGGATATTTCGGTACGAAATCTCTTAGCACGGCAAAATGTTATCAAACTCAATGTAAAAACAATTCCAACGTATAGGTGAAGGCACGTCGGATCTGGTCTTAAAATAGACGAGACGACAAAAACAACACCGCTATCAGAATGTGTTAACCAACTTAAATTGTACCATTTTCGGACTGTTTGCTGCATTATAACAGGTAATAAAACACGAAAGTTTGTCTCTGTTTAGTTACATATGCATAAGAAATAAATGAAGGACCTTGTGCCTAGCTTGGAGATACTACAAATGCCGATATATCAGTATCTTCTGACTGATATTAAAGTACTTAATCCATTATTATCGTGTTGCATTTAAATATCGTATTTAGTGTCACATGCATTTACTACTTCTAACTCACTTATTAAACTTGTTCATTACTTAAAAATATATATGATGTATATACATCTGTATTTATATTTGAATATGTATACTTATGCCAACAGAAAGAAATTCTTTGGCATTATTTTTGAAATTATCTCTTTAAAATTTTGGCCGCGGCTCCGTCTCAGAGGGTCCATCCGTTGGTCCCAATTTTCGATGTCTCGTTCGTTTCGACGGGTAACTGGTGAATGACACGCGTGATGTTTTGTTTCATTTTTAAAGAAATTTGGACCATGATTCCACCAGACCACAAACCACGCCAAACCGTTGTTTTTTCTAGATGAAATGGCAGCTCTTGAATCCCTTTATGTTGCTATTCGTCCCAATACGGCAATTTTGAATGTTTCATACTCATTGAGCCAGAAATGGGTCTTGGAGTTTTTCAAGAGCCCATAGAGCGAAGCGATGTGACTTGAGAAGGTTTAGAGTTCTTTCACAGCTGTATTTGTACGCTTTTAATTTAGGATAGCGACGTAAAATGCGCCAAGCCCTTCCATACCTCAGACCAAGTCCTGCGAACGGCCCGACTAGACCTCCACGGTCTTCATATACACTCTCAAAACAGCTGCTGGCTCTCACGATGTGTGGAGGTTTGCGAATAGTAGCTCAGTAGGCCGATTATGTTGACCATAAGTTGAACAAAGCGCGCGAAACATTCTTTACAGAACGTGAATTTTGGTATAAAACTGAGCAATTTGTAAACGTTGACAGACGTAAATCTTTCCATGATGGAATGCCAACAATAACATGACGATTCACGCGTGATCTGTCAAAGAGAGGCGTCTTTAACAGTTTTTCTAACATTCACTCAACACACCAGGGTGCAATGCAAGCACGCAAAGAGTGTAATGCCCGAATGAATGTGTGTGAATCGTCGCACCGATGTTATTTCTTGTGTGTAACTTCCTATATTAAGAAGAACATGATACACATACTTATGAAACAGACTGTAGGGTGCGCTCGAGCGACGTAAATATGTACTTGTAATTACAGCAGTACTGCTACGTGTTGCACATTTGCTGATACCTGCTGATGTAAGGAAAAAAATTTAGTGTACCGTTATTTGCATAAATTACAAGTGTTGTAAGAATTTCACACAGAACGTGATACTTTGACAAATTTGCAACACTGCTGTCGTGATTGCCATCTCGAACGCACCCGAATGTACTTATAAGTATGGCATTGTGCATTATCGTGATGAATAGACCAACCATATTTTTATGCATATAGATTTATAGTGTATTATAAGAATTGTTTATAAGATATATTGTTAGAAGTACTTTACTTGTTAGGTATAAATTTTAAGTGTTTTTATTAATATTTAATGTATTTAATGTAATATGTATTAAAATATAGTATATTTTGGATTATTATATACTTTTACTTCTACTATTATATATATAAACATATATGTATTTATATGTCTTTATAAATTAAATATATTAATTAATTTTAATCATTAGTTTAAGTATACCGTTTTCAATAAATAAAGCAAAATAATATAAAAAATACTGAGTTGTATTAAAAGAATTGGAATTGGTGGTAACAAAAAGGTAACGATATGCTAACATATTGTACGGATTTTCGATAATTCGTCTCTTGTAACTCACTTTTGAGTTCGATCATTGGATTGTTAAATAAAGTCTCAATTTAAGGCATACACTTATCTTTATTTCTAATTCCAAAACTTAACACTTATTGCTCGATATTCGAGTTTACAAATTATTGCTTATAGTTTAATTGCTCTTTACACGGCAACACTCTAATTAGAAATGTGTCTGCTGCACAATCCGGTACTTATATAAGATGTTAACTGAACTTCGCTTAACTACTCCTGAACATTCTGGCAACCACGAATTTCGCTATTTAGTTGGTTCTAGCAGGTATCATTGATTCTAATTTGTTCTAGCATTCGTGTTCACCACAATATGCATTTGTTAGAGGTAACAGATGGATAACAATGAGCAGAGAATGCAAATGATTTTTTTATAGTAGGGAGAAAAATCGAAAGCCGAAGTGCGGAACTTTAATCCGCTAAACCTAACTACTCCCAACTCATATCTCTCCCATGGAACCACCGGATTAAGTATTACTTCATGGGAGGGAAAAGGATATTTAAGTCTTCTCTACGGAACGGACTGACTGACTCCTAAGCTGTTGCAAGTATCTCAGTTTTGTCATAATTAGAGCTGCCGCTTCGCTGACAGTCTCCATTTATCAAAGACTGACACATATGTGTTGTCAGATTTCCACCGTTACACTCCCGCAAGTGTAGATTTTACCTTTTCCCTAATATTTAAAAAACGGGGGCACTAACGGCAAATACGTGTTCAGAGTTTTCTATGCATCTGTACACGTCGAACAATACGGACTAACATCATGATTTATTGGAATAGATACTTTCTAAAGCATCCATGCCCACTCAGTATTTGGGTTAGGAGAAATTCAGGTCCATGTCGCTTCTATCCATGAATGAATGTCCGGAATCAGTCCGTGGGTAAATCGTCCTTTAGATGAGGTTTGGCATCGCTGCTGCCACATTGTGAGGCTCTTGATTCTCTCCTCTTTTTTTACTTTTGAAGACTGCACTAAAGCTGTACAAGTCGCGCGAATTCGTCCCTGAATAACAATAGGCGGCATGCTGGGTAATAAACTTCAGCAGCATCACTTGAATATCGTTCGGAAGCACTTATTACTCGGATTGCAGAGACCTATGCACTGCGTTATTGGTCTAACATATGATTTTATATCTAGCGCTTGTTTCCATATTATTGCTGCATATAATACCACGGAATTTATTGCTTTTGATATTAAAACCGCCGGCTGGAACGCACGCAGCATCGTTCCCGATAGGGCGTTATAAATTTGTTTGCTTTACCAGGAGTATACGCCTGTTGTTCTAAATTTTTTAATTTGGAGTCTAGTTTACTCCCAGATAGCTGCGGCTGCGAGAAATATCGCATTTCTATGGTGAGTGTTAATCTTCCTTCCAGCTTCCCTGTGCATATGAGCAAGACTTCCGTTTTCTGCTCATCCAGCTCTAACTCAGACCAAACGGCGCAGACCATTATGCAATCGTTGCATTTGAGTCTGGGTCATCTATATAGATGTTTAGCACTGCTACACTATGCGGTCATCCGCATACGCTATTGTTTCACGTTTTTTGTTGATGTATTCTTAGTACCCGCCGTCGTACATCAGTTCCATAATATGGCGCCAAGACCGAGACTTGCGGTATTCCTCGAGATAGTGTAGCTCTGAATGCCCTCATCAGTGTCGAATAACAATCTGTGATTTTTTAAATAGCTCATAATATTTACGGAATATTGGGGAGCGCGTATTTCGTAAAAGCTTGTGATTATATTTGCCCTTTGCGAGAGTTAAACGCATTTCTCACGTCCAGAGTATTAGCGCGCATACTTTTTGTGCCACATTTCTATCTTTTGCCACTTACTGCACATTTCGCAGTGGAACGACTTTCGTAGTGCGTAATAGTGGAACTCTTTTTATAAAGCTGTATTGCCTTTCTGATAATCTGCCTTTTTAAACACCTAATTCAAGCGGTTTCTTACATGCTTTAGTACATTTACCAATCGTGTCGGGCATGCACAATGGGTCGATAAAGATGATGGTTCGTCGGTGGCTGTTTTTGGCTTTGAAAGTAGTACCAAACGCTGTATCTTCCAGGGGTCGGGGAGAATCTTATCTATTATACACGCATTGTACATTTTTGCAAACAACTGGGTTTTATAGTCTTGGCTTCCTTTAGGGCTCTTGGTATGCCATCTATTCCAGGTGCTTTGTTGTTTCTTAGTCTTTTAGCTATGGTCAATATTTCATCTTCAGTGACCAACATGGTGGCTCTGCATCATTGCTTCGTGGCTTACCGTATATAGATAGGATGGTGTGTCGGATATACTGACCGACCACTCTTCTCATAAAGGATGCGCTATAGGCTGCTGGGACTTTTTAATTTGGAATGCAATTTTGTACGCAGTTTCCAATTGATATGTTACTTCATCACAGAGCTTTTCGAACTGTTTCTTTGCTGCGGGTATTCGCTGACTTCAGGAGCTTCTTGTGCCTTTTAAACGTTTCCTAACGCAATTTCGTTTGCACCACTCTGGTTACGCTGTAGGCGACGTCTGGATGAGTGACCAAAGTTTCCTGAGCGTGGCTATTTCTTCATTCCGCCAATATACTGACCTTCGTTTATTACGGTGTG